TTTTGCCATATAGCTAAAGGAACCTACTTGATCAAATGGTTGAACCAGTGACCAATTTTTTTTTTTTGGTACTATGAGTCTTGGTTAAATAACAGTAGTAGTGTTAACAGTTCTGCCCAATCAAAGTAGTGTTGTAAAACCAGTGACCATTATGAGTCTTGGTTAAATAACAGATCTGCCCAATCAACTGGTAAAACTGTGAGTTTGTGACCCTATGAGTATTTTAGTTTTATATTCGGTCCAACTCACAATATTAGGGGTGTCAATGGGCCGAGTTTGGGTTGAACCCCATCCGAATTAAAATCAATTTGAACAAATTGAATGAATGAATAAGACATATTGAATTAGACCAGTCCAGACTTAGTATGTGTTTGGTTCTGTTTATGTTTATTGAATAAACGTTTGTACTTTATTTTCTGTTAAAACCAAGAAATGCAATAATTGTAGCCGTTTATGATAACTAGGCGCCACTTCAGCGTAACAGTGAATAAACACCTAACCATTTGTGGAAGCTTCAAAAAATAACTTCTACAAACGGCTGGCCTGCACATAAACCAAAGTTCATTTTTTACATTTTCGATGTATGCAGAAGAGCAAGAGAGAGAAAATGCTGAGGTGGTGCCAATGCGGCACCATCAATAAACGTTTACTGAATAAACATAAACGGAACCAAACACCCTGTTAATTTGGTCCAAAGTATTTATTGGATTGGATTAGACCTGGTCTATTTGTAATAGATTTATATTGGACCAATGTCCAGTCCATTGACATAAGATAAGAGTACGAGTGTCAATGGTCCTGATTTGGGTTGGACCCAATCTAAGTTAAAACTAATATGAACAATTTGGACAGTTTAAACATTGAATTGGAGCAATCTAGAATGGTCCAAAGTCTTTATCTATTTGGATTAGACCTGATCCATTTATAATAGACTCATACTAGACCGGATTAGATTGGACCAATATCCAGTCCATTAACAACCTTGCACAACATTGCCTCGGAAGGGCTCTTATGATTATTCTTGTCATCATTATCATCATCTAAGCCTTGTGGCCCTTTCTAACATGGAATCAGATATATAAATCCCGTTTCAGTTTCACCATTCTATTCAGATGTGGGACTCTTATTATCATTCGTTGTTATAAAAACACCTTTCTAAGGAGCTTTGTATTTAATGACCTAGTAGTTGAGGTCAAGGTTCAAAGTACCGATACGTATCGCCCATATCGATTGACACGTATTGTGCCAATGGTTTACCGATACACCCCTCTAAGGATTATATTGGGTTAGACACTGGTTTAAAGGGTAGCTGGGCCTTAAACTGACCTTCTAAACCGGTTTCGAAAAAAATAAGTATTACTTAAAAAAAGTACCGATACAGGCCGATACACCCTATTGACGTATCAGCGTGTGTCGATACTTTGAACATTGGTTGAAATAGTGAGATGGGCCTAGAGCAAGCCAGGCATTGGGTTTATGATATTAAATAAAAAATATTAGACATTTATAATATTTTAATTCACAAAAATTAAATTTAATTATATATAATAGCTTATATCTTTACTTTCTACTCGCATATTTACGTAATAAATGTCCTTAAATTAATATATATATCAAGTTTCACGTTATAATAATATTTATATATAATGGTTAATGAAATAACACATACTCCTATATATAATGGAGACGCGGTTTCAAATCTGTGATGCTGCAGACACGCATCACAGGAAATGATATCCGTACCAAATACCAATTTGAATTCTAAAAGTAAAGAATTCAAACATTATATATGGTTGGTGATGGTGAATGACCAGTTTTGGCTATTTGTCAAAGTGTTTTATTTACAAGTCCATCGTCGACTCTACGTCATACACGTGCCCATTTATCTTAAATTGTTTATTTGCATTTTCTTGCCTACTATTGATTCGAAGCTTCTTCTTCTTCTTTCATCTTATTTATTAATTTATTTGAGATTTTTGATAGATAGGCCAAGTTCAAAGTATTGATACGATAGATATGATATGTTCGATATATATGGGGTGCATCTTTGGATGCTCATACATCTGTTTACGGCCTTACAGGTATTTTTATGAATTTTTTTCTTTTATTAAATAATATATAATTATATTTAAAATTGAATTTTGAAAAAAGAAAAAAATAATAAAAAATAAAGGATGTATCGACACTTTGAACCAAGGTTTTGATATATATCAAGCCATATCGGCCAATAAGGATTTACATCGATTATCAATGTAAAGTGTCACTTATGATAGGTTTTACATGTAAAAACTACATTAATAAAATCAATGTAATACCACATCAATAAGCACATTTTTCTATGCTCAATGGTTCACACTTTCAAACAGTTTGGTGTGAAACATCATTGATGGATTTTACATCGATGACGTTTTACACCAATTCCAAATGCAGCCTCAAGGATCTGTTTTGTTAAAAACATGAATCGGAATTGGAATAGTCTATTGTCCATATCTATTTAGTAGTTCACACAGGAACCGAATTGGCTGAAATGAATTCTCATTCTCAAGGAAGGGAGAATAATGGCCATTAGGGGTGAGCATTATTCAGTTAAAACCGAACTACCGAACTGAAAATTTCAGTTTCGGTTTTTTTGGTTTTTGGGTAATTCGGTTTTTAGTAATTTTGGTTTTCGGTTTTGGTTTTAAGATTTAGAAATTCAGTTAACCCAAAAAACCGAATTAACTAAAATTTACTATATAATATATAATATTCTATATATAATATGCTATATATTATATAACGTATTATAATGAAATTAAATTTCATAATATATATTATAATATATATATATATATTAAAGGTTATAATATAATATTTTATATATATATATTAATTAAATTCGGTTTTTAACCAAAAACTTTGGTTCAATTATTTCAGTTTTATTGTAATTCGGTTTCAGATTGATTTTTAATTTTTTAATTCGGTTTTAAAAAATTCAATTTATTTGATAACTGAATAAATTGAACGCTCACCCTTAATGGCCATTGTATCAAACGAGAGAATGTCATTCCACCAAGAGTGAAAATTGGATTCTGATTCGGCCCAATCAAATGGTTAGAATTGGAATGGATCACACAAACCAAAAGGACCCCCAAGTTTCGTCATGAATCAAGCTCTCGTTAGAACAATAACAAAAGTCCTTTTAGTGAATAATCTACCAAGTTGTAAGGTATTCTTTTAGTAGATACGGATGGCATTTTGAGGTAAGTCTTTCAGTTGCTTCAGTCATTATCAAACTGCTCCTAAGGTTTCTCCTCCTTTGGTTGGACGAAAAGGGTGTCTGATATGATATTCCTGAATTGGCTGAATCAAATGGCTTCAGTTTTTCAACCATCAAGGGATTTATAACCTCTTTAATAACCTTATTCACAAAAAACAAAGCAATAAAATGTAGAGTTCAGCCATTTCAGCTGTTACCAATCTGTAGCGTACATCCATTTCTTGTGGGTAATAAAAGTTATAGGTCTTTAGGGTTAAATCAGATGACAAAATGCATTAAATTATCAAAATACCCGCTTAAACTTTTCTGATTTTCTTTTTCTTGTTTTTTTCTCTTAAACCTAATTGACCAAAAATTCCTCCATTTTCTTCAAATGAAACCATCTAAACTAACAAAGATCTTTCTCGCTCTTCTCTTGCAGTGGATCAGCACGTGCCACTCAATTAGTGCATTTAAGTCATTTACATATCTTTTTATTCTATTTCATTTTTATTTCTCAATTTTTTCAAGTTTGGATTAATAGGGTTTAAACCCAGCTTACTTTTCCATAAAAATCCGTGTGAGTCTCCATTCCTTGCCATTCCAACAACTTTCCCTCTTTTCTTTTTCTTGACCGTACTCAAATTGGCCCAACCTATTGTCCTATCTCCAATTATTATTGATTCAATGAATTCTAGCTATCATGTAGTAATTGATATTCAAAAATAAATAAGAAGACTATTATGATGTAATCAATAGGGCAATGCTAAAATTAGGACCACACATGGAGCCCGGAAGTTTTATTAAAAAAAGTTAAGTCACACAGCATCCAACCACATATTGAGAATATTTTCCATATATTTTATGTTAAATTTAGGGTGAGATGTTCCAAATGTACGTGGGATCTTCATGCATTTAAGTGTGTGCAAAGCTTTTGTTTATAATGAATCTGATTGCCTACACATCAAGGGTTTCTTTTTCTTTTCCACTAATCAAAGAAAGGTCTAATTTAATCTATTACAATTCAACCATCGCAACACCAAGTACCCTACCACAAAGTGATGACATCAAACCAGAAAATACAAGCGAGTTTCCAAGTGAAGCCATTATGGACCAGATCTAATCTAACCAACTTTGAAACATTATTTGTCGGTTAGCTTGCCAAATAGATTTCATAGACGGAGCTCTGTCTATGAAAGCTTAATTTGGTTAACAAGTAATACGAACAGAGCCGAGCTCAAACATGCACGAAATTGAACCTTTTGCTTTTATTCGGCTCGATTCAGGTCGTATAATATAGCCTTTCATGAGGGGCCGGACCGAGCAGGGTCTATTGGTTTGGGCCCATCTGACGAACACAAAGACGATTGTAATTTCATGGTCTGGAACATGAATAATTCAATGACAAATATAATTTACACATATAGATTATAGTCGTCAGCCAATTGCGTGGTTCCTAATTTCTCTAATTAATTTATGAGGTGGGTGGGATCAAGACTCGCTGTGCTGTAGCCCATCTGTGTCGTCTGTATCTAACTATCTACTACTCTTGTTTATTTTTTGGCTTTTTTTTATCACGTTCCACGTTCCTTTGATTTTTAGTCGTGGGTTCAGATGTAATGGTTGTTGAATTAATCCACGAAACCTGCAAGAAATTGTCATGACTTTCAAACACTCAATTCATAAACCCTTTTCTCCTACTAGGTCGAGATCTCTTTCTCCTGGCAATTAAGTCGCATATATTGTATATAAAAGGAACAACCGGTGGTGTTTTCCTTCCAGTGCTCCAGCATTTCCATCCTATATAGGTATAGCTATATATATACTTGAGATCGACCTAACTGTCACTGTACTTTCTCTGGCGAGTCCTCCTCTGTGAAACATGAAGAGTCCAGGCAAACCCATGTCTACTTTTGGCCTTGTGTGTCTACTGCTTCTCATCTTCAATACAGAAGCAGCCACATTTCATGAAGTTGGTAATAACAAATTAAGTCTCTCTGATGATTTGCTTGTTTTTTCAAGTACGGGAATATATATGAAGACAGGAAACTAACTCGATCGGTGTTTTTCATGGTGCAGAGGATGAGAGAGAGTTTGATTATTTGGAAGGGAGTGGGAAGGGACCTGATCACTGGGGAGAGCTGCATGAAGAATGGGCGGCCTGTAAGAATGGAGACATGCAATCCCCAATCGATCTGTTGAATGAACGGGTGCAACTGGTGCCAGGATTAGGGAGACTCAAGAGAAGCTACAAGCCTTCAAATGCCATCCTCAAGAATAGGGGCCATGATATTGCGGTAAGCACGAGAAATTTCACTAGTTCTATTTGCCTTTCAGGTGGATATTATCTACTTTAATCTGTGTAGTGCTCTCTCTCTCTCTCTCTCTCTCTCTCTCTCCAGTAAGAGACAGCTTCCAGTATCCGATCTTCTGAGTTCTGAGTAAACCTATACCCTTTGTGGGAGCATTTGCTGCATCTAATGTGGGTAGTTGAACCAGTTTCAACTACTACTACTACTACAGAGAAAAATCCTGTGCCTGGGCTCTGGTCTAAAAGTCCAACCAAGGTAACCTCGCATCTTACTCTGGTCTGGTCATAGAGGATGCTATGTTGGACTGTTGGGGTCAAATCCAGGTGGACGGAAGAGACCATTGACGAAGAATCACATGACAGACTAAGCCCCCATTTGCCTGTAGTGTTTTTGTTGGATAAATAAGTGCTTATCTTAATAAGCACTTATGAGTGTTTGGTAAAAAAATACTTTTTTTCAAACGGTAATTACTAATTAGTGTGGTATAAGTATTTTGAAAGTACGTTGTGGGTCAAGACAGGCAAGAAATTCAACAACTGCTTTTTGAAAAATTTTGAGATAATTCTAGATGGGCTCATATCCTTAAAAAGTGCTTTTTTGAACTTATTTTCTGAACATACACATATAAGTGCTATTTGATGTGATCCTGGCCTAAAATAAGCACTTTTAATTTCCAATAAATGCTTAAAAATAATCACTCTCAATTCTCAAATGGAGGAAAATTGATTTTATTCCAAATAAAGTTATGCTTTTTGGGGTGAGTCTGACTGTTAGAGATGGGTGGATGATGCAGCTTGAATGGGGAGAGGGTGCTGGATCTATAAACATAAATGGTAMAGATTATGTGCTTGAGCAATGCCACTGGCATTCACCTTCTGAGCACACCCTCAATGGCAAGAGGTGATTATTAATTCTATTCTCCACTTACTCTCTAGTCTCTTCCTTTAATTTAATCCTTCTTTTCTTATATATATATTAAATTCATACATCATCCTCCCTCTCAGGTTTGACCTAGAGCTGCACATGGTTCATGTCTCCCCTGATAACACAACAGCCAACCAGATCGCTGTGATTGGAATCCTTTACAAGATTGGCCGACCAGATGATTTCCTCTCTGAGGTAAAATTAATTAAGCTCCAAATTAACTGAATTATTAATTTATTACTTAATTACCTCTCTCTCTAAACTGTTTTTTATATATATGGATGAATGAATGGACATGCAGCTGAAGAAGGGAATATGGTCTATAGCTGATAGCAAAAATGAGGTGGGAGTGGGAGTGGTAGACCCAAGACACATAAAGATAGGAAGCAGGAAGTATTATAGATACATGGGCTCTCTTACTGTTCCTCCATGCACCCAAGGTGTCATTTGGACCATCAACACCAAGGTCTGTCTGTCTTCCTCCCTCCTCTCCCAAGTTCCAATATTAAGTGTAATCAATTTCATCACCTAATTAATTGTGTGATGATGATTTTCATATATACATAAACCTGATTGGGTGTTTCAGGTGAGAACCGTTTCCAAAGGCCAAGTGAAGGCACTGAGAGACGCAGTTCATGATGTAAGTTCATTGTTTTTCTTCCCTTTTCTTTTCTTTCTTTCCCCTGCAGGTTGAGCACCAACTGTTTGATAATTAATCCTAATTACCTGTTCTGTGCATGGGATCGAGCTCAAGCTCAAGCTTGACCACCTCGGTCAATGACAATATCGATCACAATTTGATGTGCTTTCTTTTTTGCAGTATGCGGAACAGAATGCAAGACCCTTACAACCTCTCAACAAAAGAGAAATCCATCTCTATCGGCCCCGGGATTTGACAAGAGATCGACGCAACTGATTGATACATACACTTGAATATTGCAGTTTCTATGAATTATTAGTTAACAGTTGAATTTGTATGTATTCCATTCTTTGACGTTTACGTGAGTATACAGAGTACACAGCTACCGATTACCCAATATTTGATGTTCAATTTTGAGTTATTAATTAATGTGGTGTTATTTTGTCTCTTTGTATAATAAAACTACAATTCAATCTATATTAATTCTTAGCATGGGTTCGACTATGATATGAAAAATATAAGATATCTGAAAATTTTCTGATCAATCAATTGAAATCATAAACGTGGTAGCTAATCAGGTGTTTATCAAAATTCATGGATGGATTTTGATTGGTCAAAACTTTTCCCATACTATATCTTTTTCGCATCATAGATTTTCCCCTGTAACATCTACGGATGCATTCTTTCTATACAAATCAGGAAATAATTTCATATATATAAAAGTTTTAGTGACCCATTATTCTTAAGCCTATGCTGTTTGCAGTGTGAATCTGAACCGAATGCAAAATTTGCACCCAGTTCGGTTTTCCATCTGTTTCTGTGTGATAAAGATTTGCTTTTGTCTCATTTGCACTCAGGAACAGTGATGCAAAATTTGCACCATTTACCTGAATTCTCTTTCATATAAAATGGAGACTAGATAATCTTGCTTCCTACTTCACTCCCAAACAAATAGCTCTTCTACAACTAGAAATGGGATCTGCTCCTCAAAGAGTGTCTCACACCGACCTTACAGCTACATCCCATCCTGTACTGGGAACATCTTTCCATAAATAATAAATACAAGTATGGGAAGTGTTCCCAATGTGCAGTCAGGACATGCTGTGAGGTCGGTGTGAGACATGCTCTATGAGGAGCAGATCCGGATTCCTCTTCTACCACCATTAATGGAATAGGGATTATATCATTCCACTCCCTATTTTACTTCTCATAAATAAGTAAACCAAATTTCAATGTTTTAAAAAACGACCCAGAGGCCAAATCGGTTTTGCCTCCAGGTTGAGTATCACCAATTCGACTATCCGGGTTGGACGGGTCATACTTGCACATTGACATTTTTCTTCTATAAATATATATATGTGTACATATGCATACATATGTATGTATAATGTATATGATGAATAAAAAAATGTATAATTATTTTTAGATGTTTTATTTTTTTAATTCAGTTTTTAATTTTTTTTATTTATAAAAATGCAAAAAATTGTTATTAAAGGCTAGAAAGGGTTTTTTGGGAAAATTAATGGGGTTTTATGCCTTGGAATGCATAAATCTCAAAAAATTGCCCAAAATAAAAAAATAAAATAAAATCACCTCAATCTGACAACCGAGCAAATTAATTGAACATACATAGAGTGTGCAACCCATGACTTGGTGACTAGGTCAAATATGTCAATGGTTCAACAACCATCTGGGTTGGATGGTTTTTGACTAAATCAACATTTTTTTACCAAATGCCAGATTTAAGAGAACCAAACCCAAAATCAAGGTCGAATCATGGTTTGAAAAATTCAACCAACACACTATACCTATTTGTACTCCCATCCAAGTCTCTCCAACTTGCAAAAACTTGTTAAAAGAGGGTGTACCTCACTAGTGAATGTCAATAATCTCCTAAAACTAAAAGAAATTGATTTGTTAATCCACAAAAGAACGCTTGCTTCCTTCGTATATGGAAATGCTCCATTTGATAACCCTCCTACATATTTTCAACTTAATGAGAGTTGATGAAAGGCCCTTTCGTCATAAACTCCTACGCCAATCGGCTCTGTTTACAACTCTCTCAATTTCCAAATCTGTGTTTACAGATTACATCACACCCTTTCTGATCATGAGCACAAGTTTCAAATTTGAATCGTTTGTATTCAAATTTGAATCAGATCGCATCCATCAAATATCTTGTAGATCAAATCGAATTCAGACTATAATTGGATATTAAATAGTATAAATAAATTAGACTGAAATTTTTTAAAATATTATATTTTATTAATAAAATAAATACAAATGGCTTTAATATTACATTTTGTGAACAAAATGAATTGAAAATTACTTGCATGAAACTTAAACATATGACAATTTAGTGAAAATACAACATTTACATTAACTTTATTGATAAATATAATAAAATTTTTAAGTATTACAAACATAAATATTTAAATCAGATCAGATTGAATAAGGGTGAATCCACATTTAATCCAATTATAAACAGATCAAACTCGAATCGAATGTCCCTTAATAAGGCCGAATTCAAATTCGAATTTGGACAATTAGATACCATTTGCAGCCCAATTAGATTCAGAGAAATTTCTTAGCTCTCAGCTTTTAAGACTCAAGAGCAAACACGCGCGGTAACTATTTTAATTTAATTAATTTGTTCTATCTGAAACCTTGCTGCCTTTTGGTGTTCAACCTACTCATCTCTCACGGCGTGTATACGATTCGTATTCTGTCTCTGGGTTGTTAGTTTGGAGAAAAGCAAATTAAACCCCACTTTCAACTTTATAAAAATAAGCAAAACATCCTTCTGATCGCATGGTCTTATTCAACAACCTGGCCTTTAATTTCATCTGTTTCTAGTTATACTCCGATCGCGACGACCATTTCTGTCATTCAGTAGGTACCAAGACTCCTTTTCTTTCTCTCAACCACCTAATTTCATTTGTCTATTTTCCACCTCTACACCACGCGTTGTACCATGCAAGATCACATCTTTTAAACAGTAAACATCTAATCTGTTTCAAATTAAACTAGGGTTACTCTCTCTCTCTCTCTCTCTCTATCTCTATCTATCTCTCCCTATTTATCTCTCTCTATCTCTATCTATCTCTCCCTATTTATCTCTCTCTCTGAAGTCTTGTTCATTATTTCTTCGTAAATTGATGATTAACAGACAAAAGTAAGTATGAAAAGCTTCATTTTTTACCAAAATTTCAATGCAAAACCCTAACTTGACCAATTAAGTTCATTTAATTGAGGTTGGAAGTTGAAAGAGTGTGAACGGCGGGCGTCAGGTTTGTCGGCAAAGGCTTCTCTTTTATGTATTGATTGGATAAATGGTTACGATCGAACAGGTCGAACGTTCAAATCAATCAAAGACTTTTCTTGACTACCAAAAAAGAAATTCAATCAAAGAAACTGAACATCCATTTGAAAATATTGGATCAATAAGCTTGCAAATCGTGTAATATAGGATATTGTACATCGAGAGTTATAGGTCATTGGTTACCAGAATATAGGATATTAATGGAAAGCATGTCAATTTATTATACATTAGATGTTGAATTTAATAATATTTTGAATTTTATATGAAAAATAATTAATAGGGGTACTCAGTAAATTGAACCAAACTATTTTTTAAAATGAAAATGGTACCATTGGTTTTTAAAAAACTGGGAACCAATTAATTAATCGGTTGATTGGTTTACTCAAGATTCAAAGTATTGATACATCCCGATGGGGCACAATGGGGTGTATGGGTATTTTGTACCATGTGCCTACGCTATTTTTAGTTTTCTTCCAAAATAGGTCAGGGGTAGGTTTTGGGCTTGTCTATCCCTTGAAATAGAGCCAATGCCTAAAATACCTGTGTTTTTGTGTATAGGTGATTCACCAATACAATATATATCGGCTGATATGGGCTGATACATGATGAAAATTTGAACCTTGGGTTCATTTTTTTGGTTTCTTAATTTTTATATTTTCAATATATATTATAAAAATTTATAAACATATAATATAAATACTAAGTATATATCGATTGATTCGGTTAACCTGAGTTTTTTTAATTGATGTCCTTGATTCAGTTCGGCTTTTGGGTTTTTGTTGAGCACCCCTAATAATTGATAATTTCGGTGTTTTTACATATTTTAATTAAATAATTGAAATTTTTATATTTATTTATATTATTTTACTTGTTTATTGTTTATATATAACAAGAAATAAGAGAAGATTAGATGCCCACCTGATATACCCACCCTTAAATGCAAAGAGTGTATGGCTGGGCCGCTGGGGAGGCTGGAGCGTTTTGCATTTTATATGCAGGAAAAGCTTGGATTATGAAAATCTAACCCGTTGTGGGTTTTAAAGAGGGTATTGGTTGGGACTTGGGAGGTCTAGAGAGACGGCTCTAAAGTTTATAAAACCTTCCCTGAATCTACGCCGTTGCCATCCTTAGGGTTGAGAGTTGAGTTGTGTGATTTTGAAGGCTTTTTTATATATTATGTTTTGTTTTTTATTATTATTTTTTTTATTAATGACTTTCATCGGTCCGTTGGATGGGACTCTATTAAGTGGTCTTTCATATATAGCCTGGGAATTTTTGGATTTAGTACAGGCTTGGGCCCAGGCCTTGGAAACAAAATATAAGCCCTAGTTCAGAATTTTCTAGGCTGGGCCGAACTGGGCTTTCTGGCCAGGCTATACATCACCCCTAGTTACAGCCCATGGAATAAGCCTAATATGACCTGCCGCATGATACTTTGATGTTGTCAAGTTAACCAGCAATATATGTACATTCTATGCAAGGATTACAACATGAAGTATGAGAATAAACCAAAAAGCACTCCCAAACACGGCCTAAGGATGCTGCCACCAAATACGGCCTAATTCAACATAACGCCAAAGAAATTAGTTCTCGTGCAACCAAACAAACCCTTGTGGGGATTCATATCTTTTTCTGTTTTCATGTTTCATCCACGAGTAGTAAGAGGGCAAAGAGAGAAACAGATAAAACAGGAAAGAACATGACCAGACAGACCATACAAAATGCTGGTCAATGCAGACAAAGGCACCACAATGCCTGCAAAGGACCCTTCATTCTCTCCTGCTGCAACTGTCCTCTACTGTAAACCACTTGAAGCAAATCCACTGTCTCCTAAGGGTGTCAGTTGGACAACATTTCGTCCAATCCGATCCAGTTCGATGTGAGTTCATTATAAATGGATCAGGCCCAAATCAATCCGATGAATATTCTGGACCATTTTGGATCAATCCAATTCAATGTTTAGACCAAACCTAGTACATTGACATCTATATTCTTATCTTCTATCAATGGACCAGATATTGACTCAATCCAATATAAATTCATTATGGATGGATCAGGTCAAATCCAATCTAACAAATACTTTGGGTCATTAATTTTGATTTGGACAGCGCCCAATCCAAAACCAGTCCATTGACACCCCTACTGTCGCCTTCTCGTCCTCAA